TTGGTTTTGCCAATTTTATATAGTAGAAAATGTTGGAGGAGGAGACTCTCACTTCTGTGCCTTAAATAATTCTTTCTCAAAATATTCATCCATGACATGCCCAGCCAGTGGTGCTCAGTGGTTGAGTGTTCACCCAAGCACCAAGAGGTCCCAGTCAGGGCACATGCCCAAGTTATGGGCTGGTTCCCCAATAGGGGGCATACAGGAGGTAGCCAATGGATGTTTCTCTCTCATCAATATTTCTATCTCTCTCCTTTCCTCTCTCTCTGAAATCAATAAAAACATATATTTTTAAAAAAAATCGATGTCTTTCCCCTAGCCGGTTTGGCTCAGTGGATAGAGTGTCAGCCTGTGGACTAAAGGGTCCCAGGTTCAATTCCAGTTGCAGGCTTGATCCCCAGTAGGGGGTGTGCAAGAGGCAGCTGATCAGTGATTCTCATCGTTGATGTTTCTATCTCTCCTTCCTTCCTCTCTGAAATCAATAAAGAAAATTTTTAAAACTTATGTTTTTTCTTTCTCTCTCCCCCTTCCTCTCTCTAAAATAAATTTTAAAGTTATTTTTAGGGGAAAAAATTGACAACCTTCAGCATACAACATACACAATACTACTAGCCTTTGTTTCCTCTTCTGTCATGGACTCCTGACACCTTTGAGCACACATCAGTGTTTGAGAACCAGTGGTTCTAAGGAACTTAGAATCTGGTGATGACACACAGAACAGTTAGGATGAGGGTGGCCAGGTTGGAGGGTGGCCGGATTGAGGTATAAAGTAATAGGTAGGACCTTGGTTTGTAGAAATCAAAGTAGAAAGAGAATTACAAAAATGTTAGACATCAGCAAATGGTAGGGATTTATGGGATATGCAGGGGAGAGATACAATTCATGGGATTTGAAGTTGTGAGACTTAGGAAAGAGGATGAACACCATCTGACAAATTTTAAAAGTTGAGAGATAGAGCATTCCTCACTAATATTTCAGGGTCTCGAAGCATTGGGGAAGGGAGAGGGCATCTCTTGTCTACTTTATATGTGGGGCTCTGGTTCCAAATCCATACATGAAAACAGCTGATGGTCTAGGGTCAGACAGAATCCTTGTTTGTTCTAAAATTGGGCAAGCTACACAACCTCTCTGAGCCCCTGGATGGTAATAGCTACTTTGTAACGTTGCTAAAGATTACAAAAGTGGCTGTAAAAATTATACATGCTATACAGAATACAGGAGAAATATAAGATGGTAGCTCTCATATCAAGAGTGGATTGGTGTAGGTAAAGATTTATAATCTAAAATAACACACTTCTAGGTAGTGGCGGGGGAGAAGGCAGTCCTAATATATGGTGACAGAAGATTTGACTTTGGGTGGTGAGCACATGATACAATATACACATCTTGTAACATAGAAACTCACACCTGAAAGCTGTATGTTCATGTTGACCAATGTCACCCCAATAAAGTTAATTAAAAAATAACACTGTTCTGGAAGCACTGTCTTTCCTACTCTAGGGCTTAGGAATGCCCCCTTTTGGTTCCAGCTATTCTGGCTTTTTCAAGTCCTTGACTTCCCCAAACCATGTTCTTAACTCTCAAGTCACGTCTGTGTTGACTTTGGTGTAAACTAATTTGGTTCTTCCTTTCCTCTGCCCCTGACAGCATCTGTGGGACCCTCCATTCTGTGGATCAGGTGAGACAAAGCGAGAGCCCAGGACTAGTCTTGGGGAAGGAGGAGGGGAGAGCTTAAGGGTGGGGTACTTGTATCCTGTCTCTAGGGCTAATGATGGTGTTCATCTTCTTTCCTTAGTATCTCAACATCAAACTTACTGACATCAGCGTCACAGACCCTGAGAAATACCCTCACATGGTGAGTGAGGGATGGTGGAAAAGAGCAAGCACCTGTAAACACAGGAGGCCCCTGGGTATGGAGGACATTTTTGAGAGTGTTTTCACGTTTGCCTACCTTTGTCTAGTTATCAGTGAAGAACTGCTTCATCCGGGGCTCAGTGGTCCGCTATGTGCAGTTGCCTGCAGATGAGGTGGACACGCAGCTACTACAGGATGCAGCAAGGAAGGAGGCCCTGCAGCAGAAACAGTGATGCAACGACTCCGCTCCTTCCCTCTTCCATTGGTGATCCGTGACCTGGGGTCCCAGCCCAGGCCCCCTCCTTCATACTTGAGATGTTGTGTTTATTGTTTTTCAATATTGAAGGCGCTTTTTTTTTTTTTTAAAAAAGGGGGGTGTGTGGGGGAGATGAGTAGATGAGTGGACTAATTAGTGGGGAGCAGCCATCCTCGGTGAGAAGGGGGAACTGCAGTGTTCCTGGTCCCCAGCACCTGCCTTTCCTCCTTCCCCAGAGATGCCGGGAGAATCTAGATCTCTCCAGGGCGGCCTGTGACTCACTTGGGGATGGAAGGACTCTGTCCCGCATCGGGAATAAAGCGTTGGTGCACATTTCTGGTGTGTGTGTGTGTTTTGGGGAGGAGGCTGGAGGGGGTAAAGGGATGTTGAACGCATCAAGCTCCTGCCCTTCATTACCCCGGCCCAGCATGACCTGCCACCGCGCTGGGTAAGTCCGGGTTCCCCGAACGCGCCTCTCCCACCGAGTGCCCGCTGCCCGCCCTTCGCCGTGACCGTTGTCAAATGAGACGCGATGCGGCCGATTCCCCCTCAGCCCAGGGCACGCCGACGTCTGGCAGATTCATTCAAACGAGTGACCAGTTCGCACTGTCGGGGGCGGCGCCTTCT